TAAAATCAAGAAAAAAGAAAAGAAAATTAGAAAAAAAATTTACTTTTAATCACTGGAAAAAATTATATTCTAAATAAAAAATATTGTAATTGAAAATATTTCTGGATTTATTTTCAGAAAATCTAATCATAAAAATATTAGCGACTTATTTCTAAATAAGAATCCAGAAATATTTATCGATTAGAGAATATTTTCTTCCAGTGATAAAATTTTTCAAATACCTAACAAGATAACAATTATTATTATTATAGAATTTGAAATTCAAAGTTTGTTCAAAAAACTACGTTTATATTCATTCTACTGAAAAAAGATGCAAAAAAAAAGTTCTTACTTCTTGTGCATTACATATAAAAACCGAGTATAAAATTAATTACTTAAATTCCTAAAATAGACGAATGTTGATGAAAGTTAAAAAAAGCTGATTTTCCATTAATAAATTATCTAATTGGAATTATTTTCTTCGACATAATTATTGCATTAATTTTTCGACTTCTGTTCCTTTACAGAGTCCATAAAAATTCGAACATTGAAATAAACGACAATTTTTTATTAATTTTTCAAAATTTTATCAAGTACAAAGTATTATTAATTTTTAATATTAATTAAATTAAATCTTTTCAAATTAATGAAAGTAAATTTTTTTAGCAAACATATTAATTAAATATAAAAAATTCTTGTCTCAATTTTTTTTCGTTAAATTATTTTAATTAAATTAAAAATTATATTAAAAATTAATATTAACTAAATTAAAAAATATTAAACTAATTCAATCATTCAATTTTTCATTTTTAAATTCTAATTTTAATTCAAAGTCAATTATGCAATTTTTGACAAATATTTAAGAAAAAAATTTCGTTTACTTTAATGTTGAAAAATTATAGGAAAATTAGCAAGAGAATTTTTTCCTTTTTCTCATGTACATTTTTCTATTTCTTTTCTACTTTTTTTTATAATCGAAAAATGATTTCTTCGATGTGATCGTATACTCATACGTATATATGTTAATTTGTGGTGATATCAGTATTTTAGAAAATTCTGCTTCTTATGCAGCGACGCATAAAAAAATTTAAAAAAAATAAATAAATGGTGCAAATAATTTTGAAAAATTCGCAGGTTAAATTTTATATAAATAAATAATCGAAAAAAATTCCATTTTATACATATAATTTCTCATCTACGAATTTTTCATAACTATTTTCCCCCATTCGAATATCTTATATTTTAAAAAAAATGTCTTGCTATTTTTTAAGCAAGTATTGTGCTAGCGATATATACATAATATATATATTTACATATTTTACAGTACCTATGTATACAAAATTTGCGTAAAGAAAAAAAATAATAAAACATAAATCGAATATTTCTTTGATATTTTAAATCGATCCTTTTTCTTCTCCTTGCATTTTATTTTTTATTATTATTCATTTTAAATAAATAAGTTTATCAAAACTTGAAAAAAATAAAATCCATTAAAAAAGGATTCTTTTTTAAAAAAGTTCTTTAGAAAAAAATAATAAAGAAATAATTTTTTCTCCAAAGAATTTTCTAAAAAATAATTTTGTTCTCAAATAAGTAAATAAATAAATTTTTGAGTAAAAAAAAATTGTACAATTCCAAGTAAAAAATTGAATTATTCTTTTAATAAAAGAAAAATAGAGGAAAAAGACTTGAAAGTTTTAGCGTAAATAATTTTCAATGTATTTATAGAACCATGAATATTTGAATCATTAAAAACATTTCTGTCAATTGTTGCTGGGTGTTTCCTGATTCTCCTATCTTAACAGTATCATGTAAAGAATGTGAAATCGATTTAATTGACTTTGCGATTTAGACACGAGTACTTATCTATAGAATCTACCTTTCTCCTGATATTTACGGCCTATTTTACTTTGCAAACGCTTCCACTGAATTCCAAATAGGAATTCGCGTAACAAATCAAGCCAATTATAAACAGAAGTGAGAATCTTACTGTCAATAATACATAAATTTGCAAATACGTCAACATTACAGTGATTATTATTTTCTCCCACCTCTCACAATTTATACGGACCATCTTGTATATGAAATACGAAATACCAAGTTTCGAAAAATTAAAAATATAAATTATATTCCATTTTTAATTAATAATTTTAACTTTAATTAATAAAAATATTCCAGTTAACAAAATATTATTTATTCATTTTATTTATCTTAGCAGTAAACGAGCTGCAACAGAATCTATAAAAAAATAGAATATCAATTATTCACATTCTATTTTTAAATAATAATTTTAATTCACATTTTATTTTTTCATATTATTAATATTTTAGATAACAAAATTAATAGTAAAAAATAAAATGTGAATTATGTATTTCTTTATTAATTGAAATATGATTAAAATTATTAAAAAATATTCTGTTAAAGAATGTTAACAAAAATACTGAACAGTTGAATTTATTTCAATAAAATTAAATTAAAAAACAATTTCCGTCCTTCTCTGATAATATATGTAAATAATAAATTTTCCCCTTAATAATAAATAAAAATTTAATTTTTTTCATTTACAAATTTTTTATTTCATTGAAAAAAAATCAATTTCGTAACAAGTAGGAGGAAAAAATAATCACTAATCGTGCACTAGATAGTATATAGAGAAAAAATTCACGAACATATTGTTCCACTTGACTGAATCTAAATGTTGTTAATTATCATGAATTAGTCTTTAAATAAACGAAACTTATATGTCTCGATCAATTGATAAATATAAATGCAGCTGCAAGATTTTAATAATAGATTGATCCACTCCAACAATTCGCAAGTGATATTAATATAAGAAATATTTGCATTATTACAGCATATAATACTTATTTTATTTTTATCTATTTTTACATATCTAAACTGAACCAAAAGTATTGCAAAAAACCACCAGTCAATTTTTTCCGAGAAATTCTATTTTTATTTGCAAATGTCTTTCAAATGAATCAAATTTAAATTTAATTAATTTTATTTTATTTTTTTTTCTTATTGATTTTAAAATTAATTTACGTCTAATTGTTTTAAGCTATTAACAATTTAAATCAATCCATAGTAATATTATTTTTTTTGAAACAAATTTTTTTATTTCTTATTTACTTTATTAAAAAAATTTAGTTATTTAAAAAAAAGTTAAACAAACAAATAAAAATTAAATACTTAAACAAAAAAAAAAAATAATTCAATAGTTACAACTAAAATTAAAATAATTAACAAAAGTAATACAAAATTTCAAATTAATTAATTATATTTAATATTTTTTCTGATTAATTTAATTTAAAAATGTATTTAATCACTAACAATTTTATTTTATTTTTACAACTTTACATTAAAATATTTTTTCATTTTACATTTATTAACTGCAAAATTTAATTAATGAAAACCAAGTTAATCAAGAAAAACAAAAAATAATTAATTGAGAAAAACATCACCAAAAATACAATACAATAAAGACAATTAAAATTTAATTAATTAATATAAGTAACAAATAATTTCAAACTTCAATTCAATTATTAATTTTTTATTTTTGTAAATTTTAATTGTATTGAATCAACAATTTTATTGTATTTTTACAGTTTTTCATTTTTTAAAATATTTATAGGTATATTTTTTCATTTCATTTTTATTTATTAAAAAAATTTAATTATTGAAAAACAAGTGAAAACAAATTAACAAAAATTAATTAATTAAAAACATTGTATCAATTTTTGAACAACAACGACAACAACAACAACAACAAAAATACAATTTAATACAACTACACTTAAATTAATTACCAAAATTTAAAAATAAAATTAATTAAAATAAATATAAAACAAAAAAAATATTAAAAAAAATAATAAACAAAATTTTTCTGCTGTATTTTATTGAATTTTACAGTATTCTATATTCATACTTCTAAAAAGTTGATTTTTAAAATTACAATTGAGATCTAAAGATCGCAATACAATAAGAAAGAACAAAGTCGAAATAAAATTGAAATAGTTTTTTACAATACAATTCAATTGCTTGCGTTTATTTCTGTACCATTTTTAAACAGAGAATTAATGAGAGAAAAAAATTTAACCTCCTATATGTACCGACAAATAATGACAAAGGGGAAAATATTTCTTTGAACCTGTTTTTAATAGCTTCGACGTCTTTTACACGTATTAAAAAATTGATATAGTGTATATACAACGATGAGAGGGTTATTATATTATTTTTGCGAACATTTTTTTCCTTTTCTTTTTTCTTTCTTTTTTTTGTATAAAGATTCTCCAACTCTGACGCTTGATTTCTCATATGTGCTTTGTACTTTAAAATCTTCAATCAAATTAATTGCTCTTGAGGATTTCACGTCACACGAACTATATTTCTATCGCATCTTTATTGAGTTATTTATAAAAAACGTCATCAGCAACTCTCGAACTGAACAAATTCCAATAGCTTTTTTCTTCATTGTGCGCAGAAGAGAAAAAACTCTATGTAATGTAACTTTTACTATATATTTAGGTTTATAGAAAAACAAAAAATTCAAAAATTGAATTGCAATTTCTGACAAGTTTTTCTACTTTCGAAATTTTATTTCTTTCTTAGTCAATTTTTTTCCAAGGATAAGAATAATAATAAAAAATGGTAATAATATTAAAAAATAATAATAATTATAATTTAGATTATAATAAAATGATAATAATAATAATAATAATAATAATAATAATAATAATAATAATAATAATAATAATAATAATAATAATAATAATAATAATAATAATAATAGTTTGTTGTTAGTAAATAATGATTTTACTATCATAATTACAGGAATGATAAATATTTTCTATATTTACTTAAATAATTACTTATTTTTACCTTTCGAATCCGAATTTTCTAAAACTGCTAAAAAACAATCGGATTTATTATAATTAATTAATTTACATGTATTAATTTTTTTATAATTTAATAAATTTAATTTAAATAATTAATAAATTAAAATTATTAAATTAATAACAGATATTAATTTTTCCCTCTTAATACTAAAATTTCTTTATAATACTTTCTCTTCTGATTCCAGATTAAAAATCAGTATTTCTATAAAAACAATAGAAAAATAATCACAAATGATTGAACAAATTCATTTTAGAAATTAAGAGACAAACTAATTAGTTATTAAAAGAAGAAATTTTTCTAATTCCTAAGTGAAGAAAAATCTCTATTAATTATATACAGACGTACGGTGACGATATTATGAAAATTTATATACAACAAAACGAAGAAGTTGTGCGATGAGCGTGATTCACATTTTTGATCGAGGAATCAGATGTAAATCCCACGTTTGATGCACGACTGCATCTTGACTGGCGAGAGCTTCGAGGACTTTGGCATCTGAAAAAGAGGACGACAATCTGTGCCAGTTGCACTCAAAGGTCGCGCCACTTTTTGCTGGCGCAGAGCACAGGAAGAAAAAAGTTCACCAAAGAAACCACTTAACTTCTAACAAAGCAAATATTCAAGCCACATATATACCAACGATACCAACACTGCATATATTAATAATTCTAAATCTTGATTCAAAAATTATTATTTTACTCTCAAACAAAGCACAACAAACAAGTGGAAAATATAAAATGAAAAAATAACTAAAAATGTAACTAATTTTATTTAAATATTTACATAGGAGTAATATTTACTTTTTAGAAAATAAAAATATTTACTATTCCGAACAAGTAATATTTACTTTGCAGAAATAGTAAAATTTATTCATCCGGAAATAGTAAAAAATGATAAAAAAAATAAACTTTAGTTTTTACTATGAAAGTATAGGAATAGTTACTTTATTACTTTTTCGATGTACTTTAACGAGAAATTAATTCCCATCGAAGGGAAATTTGAACCAAGATTTTTTTTCGATGAATTATTTATACTAATAGCAGAAGACAAATAAGCAAACAGAAAGTTCTGAATTGTTAGAAATAAACGAGGAGCCAAAAATTATTAACAAAGCGAGAAGAAAAATTAGTTCTACGAGAAGCGATAAGAGAATTTTTTTTAATTTTCCACTGCATGGAAAAAATATAATGCAATTTTTACTATTTACCATAAAAATAAATAAATAAGTCTCAAATTTTTTACTTTTTTTTCACTTCTATTATTTTTGTAAAACTAAATTTTTCTAACTTCAAAACAAATTTTAGTAAAAATTAGTATAAAGTATATTTTTACTGAAATCGAAACAAATTTTAGTAACATTTTTATTGCTGGTACTAAAATTTGACTAATTTGACTAATTGACTATTTCTGACTATTTTTACTTTCACTATTTTCGTACAAAGTATATTTTTACTAAAATCGAAATAAATTTTAGTAAAATTTGCATTGCTGGTACTAAAATTGACTATTGACTACTTTTGACTATTTTTCTTTTCACTATTTTCGTATAAAGTATATTTTACTAAATCCAAAACAAATTTTTAATAAAGATTTGTAAAATTTACATCAGTTGTAGTAAAATTTACATCGACTGTAGTAAAATTTACTCCGGATTCAGTAAAATTTTATTTAAAATTTTTAATTTACTTTTGAAATAGTAAAATTTACTCATCCAAAACTAGTAAAAAATTGACAAAAGAAATAATTACAGTTTAGGTTTTTCTTTTAGAGTATAGTAAAAATTACTTTACTTCTTTTTAGTTAACGAGAAAATTCATTCATATAGCAAAAAATTTTCATCCAAGATTTTTTTTCCTGAACTGATTAACACACAAATAGCAAAATACTAACAAGCAAAGAAAAAATTCGCCGAATTAGGAGAAACAAACAAGAAGGCAAAACGATATTAATAAAGCGAGAGAAGAAATTAGTTCTAAGTGAAGCAATAATAATTAAAAATGTTTCTTTAAATTCTCCACCAAATGAAAAAAAATATAATGTAACTTTTAATATTTACCATAAAAGTAAAAGCTAAATAATCTCGAATTTCTCATTATTTTTACTTTTACTTTCTACTATTTCCGTACAAAGTATATTTTACTAAATTTGAAATAGATTTCAGTAAAAATTAGTAAAATTTACGTCGGTTGAAGTAAAATTTTTTAAAATTTGACTATTTTTTACTATTTCCTTACGATTCATTAAATTTGAAACAGATTTTAGTGAAAATTAGTGAAATTTACAATGGTTATAGTAAAATTCTTTAGAGTTTGACTATTTTGACTAAATCCGAAAACAATTTTAGTAAATAAAAATTTAGTAAAATTTAGATTTGTTTTTTACTAAATTCAAAGCAAATTTTAATAAATTTAGTAAAATTTATATCGGTTGCGGTAAAACTGTTTGAAGTTTCTCATTATTTCTACTATTTCGGTATCAAGTATATTTTACTAAATCCGACAAAAATTTTAGTAAAGATTAGTAAAATTTACATCACTTGTAGTCAAATTTACTTCGACTCTAGTAAACTTTACTTTGGACTTACTAAAACTTAGCTTGGAAATTGTAAACTCTACTTCGAACTTTGTAAAATTTGCTTTTAAATTAACATTTAGTTCGGAAATAGTAAAATTTACTCTTTAAATACTAAAATTTGTTTTATAAATAATAGAGAGAAGAAGAAAATAGTCAAAATAGTAAAAAATAGTAAAAAGAAAAGTAAGACTAATAAAAAAATAGTAAATAGAAAAATAGTAAAAAATAGTACAAAATAATAATCAAAAGTAAAGAAAAGTAAGATAATTAAAAAAAATAGTAAATAGAAAAAATATTCATAAAAAGTATAAAAAAGAGTAAAAAGAAAAGTGTGACTAATAAAAAAATAGTCAATAGAAGAAATAGTAAAAAATAGTACAAAAAATAGTGTAAAGAAAAGAAAAGTAAGATTAATAAAAAAATAGTAAATAGTCAAAATAGTCCAAAAAATAGTAAAAAGAAAAGTATGACTTATAAAAAAATAGTAAACAGAAGAAGTAGTAAAAAAAGTAAAAAAGAAAAGAAAAGTAAGACTAATAAAAAAAAATTAAATAGAAAAAATAGTAAAAAAAAGTTCAAAAAATAGTCAAAAGAAAAGTATGACTAATAAAAAATAGTAAACAGAAGAAATAGTAAAAAGAAAAATATGACTAATAAAAAAATAGTAAAGAGAAGAAATAGTAAAAATAGTAAAAAATAGTACAGAGAATAGTGTAAAGAAAAGAAAAGTAAGACTAACAAAAAAAATTCTAAATAGAAAAAATAGTGAAAATAGTACAAAAAAATAGTGTAAAGAAAAGAAAAGTAAGACTAATAAAAAAAAATTAAATGGAAAAAATAGTAAAAAAAAGTTCAAAAAATAGTCAAAAGAAAAGTATGACTAATAAAAAATAGTAAACAGAAGAAATAGTAAAAAGAAAAATATGACTAATAAAAAAATAGTAAAGAGAAGAAATAGTAAAAATAGTAAAAAATAGTACAGAGAATAGTGTAAAGAAAAGAAAAGTAAGACTAACAAAAAAAATTCTAAATAGAAAAAATAGTGAAAATAGTACAAAAAAATAGTGTAAAGAAAAGAAAAGTAAAACTAATAAAAAATAGTAAAAATACTAAAAATTGTGATTCCATAAAAAAGCGCTAAAATTCGAGAAAGTTTACGCCTGTACTATAAAAAAAGTCTACAGTAAAAGTTATATTATCAATTTTTTTCCGCGTGTGGGAATTTAAAATTAATAGACATAAATTACCATTCGTTTGAAGATATTGTTCAAGTGGTGCTTTCAAGACCGAAGCTGGAATTGCCATATTGAGTCGTGGGTAAAGTTCCGAGTTGCTTGATGAAATTGCGTTACACACGATCATCCCCAGCATCTCTCCACTCGGCCAGCAAACAATTGGACCACCACTAGTTCCACTTTGAACGCAACAGGTGGTCTGCAACATGCATGGCAAGGATCTTGACACATTTCCTTTGCTTATCGTTGGCAAACTCGATGAGAAAAATGGAAATCCGGCTGTCGCCACTACATCCCCTATATATGCACAACAATTACTCTTCAATTTTTTTTTCAACAACAACAACAACAACGACAACAGAATTAAACTAACAATCATTATCATCCTCCACACAATCAAAACTCTCTCAAAAATTTTCTCTCACTTTCAAACAAATCCGTAAAAAATAAAAAATATAAAAGAATTCCCTAAAGAATAATTTTGTTCGAAAAATTTTTAGTCGAATACTTTTTTGATTCCACTTTTCCAGGTAGAAAAGTTTGATCAACAATGAACGTCTGTGATCAACGATTTAATGAAAAAAAATATTTTTCACATCAAAAACAAAGTCTGAAACTACTGTTATTCCATATTTGCAAAATAGAAAATAAAACAAAGAAATCTGATTTCTTTCTCAATTCCAAACAAACGAAATAAGAAAAAACGAAAGAAAAAGAAACTAAAAATAAGCGATGACACGTTTAAAAATACGCTAATAGAACTGCTAATAGCAATTCAAAGCCAATAAAGTAAATCCAATTGTTCAGAATCGATAAGAAAAATTTTCAATTTCCGTAAAACGATAAACAGTTAATGAATATAAGAAACCGAGAAGAAACAGAGGGAGTAGTTTTCATTGACGAAGAAAACTTCTCCTCTCAATGGACATAAAATAAGATCATTGCAAAAGCTCTCCTGAGTCTTAATAATATTTCTAGTCAATGAATAGTACAAGGAAATCGAGTTTGTTTATTTTCTGGCCTCGTTACACACAGGCACACAATAAAAGGGAATCATAAATGTCGAGTGATCTCATCACAAGAGAGAAAGAAGGAGAGAGAGAGAGAGAGAGAGTGAGGAGAAATGATCTCTTTTTGGTTTGTGTGGTCATTTCATTTCATGAACCTCAACACTGACATCAGCAACAGCATCTTCCTTACCTCGAGATACAAAAGTGCCCTGAATATATATAGACCCCAGCGAGGGGTCCATTTCCTCTGGATTGACCCTCAGTACGGCGACGTCATATGGCTTATTATCGGGTGTCCTGTAAACCAATTCTGCCCTCGTGGGCGAGACATGCTCCTTCTTATTCTTCTTCTTCGTCGTCGTTGTCGTCGGCTTCTTTTTCTTGTTTTCATCCCTATTAAGCATAACCTTGATGTCGCTAACTGGCGCCTAGAAATAAGTCTGCCCTCTTAACCTCAATCGTTTTTTAATTCCCCCCATCGATTCATCTCCTTCGAATGAATTGAATAATAACTTGTTTCTTTGTCATGAAAAGTTGTTAAAAACTACTCTCATTTCTTTTGACGTAGCTTATTTCGTAAATTAGGCTCATGAATATATAGGTTCTAAATGTTGTTTTCATACAATTTTCACAAGACAAAATCTTCTTCAATTAGTCGAATGTAAATTCGGCTGAGAAAATGTAATGGAATTTTTTTTTATTCAATTGACTTTCAATTTTTAACTTATTAAGGGGATTTACTTTTGTTTTACTTAATTTATTTCAACTTCTGATTAACAGAATTTCTAATTTTTTAAATATTTATTAACAGAATTTCAAATCAATGAAATATTTAATTAACAGCATTTCTAATTAATACAACATTTAATTAAGAGAAATTAATTTCGTTCGTTGAAACTTAATTTTCTTGAATTTCTAAAGAATAGAATTTTAATTAAGAGATTTTTATTGTGTTCAATAAAATTTAAATTAACTTGAATTTTTACTTAACTAACTTTTTATTCAATGAAATTTGTAATTAACAAAATTTCCAAGAATATTTCAAATATTTTCAATTTTAAAATTAATGTATTGAAAATCATCGAATTGTTGCAAAAAATTTTATCAAAAAATTTGATATAATAATAGAATTCCTTCAAAGAATTTTATTATTTAAGAAAATAACTGAGTTCTCGCGAAGAATTTTTAAAATATTTTTAAAAATCCTAATTAAATTCTTTTGAAGAATTTCATTGAATTTTTTTAAACTAATGGAGTTTCTTTAATAGTTTTAATTGAAAATTTTGAAAACTGAATTTTATGAAAAAGAATTTTATTAAAATTATATTGAAAATAATAAATTCTTGAGAAGAATTTTACTATTTATAAAAATAATTGAATTGTTCCGAAGAATTTATTAAAATTTTAGAAAATAAATTAATTTTATGTTAATAATTGAAAATTTAAATTCTTTCGAGAAATTCTATTAAAACTGTTCTTGAAAAGAATTAAATTTCTGCAAAGGATTTTACTATTTATAAAAATAATTGAATTATTGCGAAGAATTATAAAAATAATTGAAATGTCCCGAACAATTCATTAAAATTTTAAGATATAATTAAATTGTTTAATTTTATAGAAATATTTGAAAATAATAAAATTTTTTCAAGAAATTCAATTGACGTTTTTTCGAAAATTGTTGAATTTCTTTAAAGAATTTTATTAAAATTAAGTATGTATATTCAAAATAATTGAATTCATCACAAGAATTTTATTATTTTTTGAAAATAATTGAATTCTTTCAATTTTTTTGACGAATATATTTAAAAATTGCATTGAAAGTAATTTAATTTTTATATAGAATTTTATGAAAATATTTTTAGAATAATTGAATTATTTTTAGAGAATTTTAAATTCTTGTTGAAATCAAATTTTATGAAAATTTTTGAAAATAATTAAATTCTTTCGTGCTATTTTATTTAAATTGGATTAAAAATTATTTAATTCCTGAAAAGAATTTTAGTATTTAAAAAAATAGTTGAATTGTTTCGAAGAATTTATTAAAATTTTAGGAAATTATTGAAATTTATAGAAATATTTAAAAATATTTGAATTCATCCGAGGAATTTAATTAAAACTATGTTTTGTCAAATTGAAATTATGCAGATTTTTGTTCTTTATTTCTAAACAAAATTAGAAAATTATTAAACAACTGTGATTAAGAAATAGAAAATTTACTTTTTTTGCATTATTTTTGTTTATGAATCACAATTTTTTTAACAAAATTATTATTTTGTTTTAGAAAAAGAAGAAAAATGTTTGCACAATTCCTTTTTGTAATCTTATTTTTTGAAAAGGATTTTCTACAGGAGTTAAGACATTCAAAACATTCAAATTCAAACCTTTTTTAAATCAAACAACTTATAAAAGTATTGTTATAAAACATGAAGATATTGATTACTCCGAGTCGAAGACTCGTAGTGATCGATTTCTTCATGTTTTCTAATAATTAAAAATCACCGAGAGATAAAATCATTATTTTATATTATAAGAATTTTGTTACTGAAACTTCATCAAAATTATTTTCATCATTTTAATTCAATTATTATTTTCTAGAATTTTAAATTATTTTTTATGAAAATAATTGAATTCCATAAAAAAAATTTATTATTTATGAAAATAATTAAATGTTTGCATACAATTTTATTAAAACTGTTTTCAAATAATTGAATTATTTTTGGGAAATTTTATTAAAATAGTGGATATTGAAAATCATTGAAATTAGAAAAATGCATTTTATTTTTAAAAATAATTGAAATTAGGACAAGAATTTCTTTGAACATTTATAAAAATAATTGAACTTTGGAGAAGAATTTTGTTATTTATAAAGAAAATTATAATAATAATTAAATAATTCTCTAAAGTTTTTAAATTTCTAAAAAAATTTGGCTAAAAGAAAATTGTACCCAACGCAAATTCTAATAAACAACTTTTAAAACTTATTCATTGACCTTTGCGAAATTAACACATTAAAAGGAATAAAAAATCCAGAAGAAGAAAAAAATCCAAAAGAAAGTAAAACCAAGAGAAAAAAAATCAAAAGTAACTAAAACCAAAAGAAAGAAAAACAGAGAAAGAACAATAAAAAATTTGTTGGAAAATTCATAAAGAAAATCGAAAAACTGAGGAAATCGACAAATTCCAAAATAGTAACAACTGTCAATAAACGAACCTCTCTCACGACATGAGAACACGTCAATATTGTACCAGATTTTTTCTCAATGAGAATTCCAGTACCCCATGATGAACCACATTGAACTGGTACCACACATCTGTCTAATAAATCTGTGAAAAAAATTTGCAAATTTTTTTTCCCCGCTTTTTTACTAATAATTTACACACAAAAAAAGGAAGACAAATAAAATTTACCAGCTAATTGACAATTATCACTTCTCAAGTTTACATCGTCAAGGCATCGTCGATTTTTTAATAATTGACAAAATTGCTGTTGAGGGACACCTCGGCTCAAGCACACTTTTAAATTTGCTATTAATGTGTAATCGACCCATTCGCCTCGACACCAACTTAACGGAGCTATCACCATTCCGCAAATTCGTCTCTGTTTTCTACATAACAATTATTTTTCATTTTTTTAATAAAACATATATGATAACAAGTTCGCTAAATTTTTATTCACTGTTCTTTAGTTTGGATCCTCAGGCAAAGAAATTTATTTTATTTTTTCAAGTCTGTTTATTCATCTAAATAGAAGCAAAAAAAAAAAAATAAATAAATAAAAATCAGAAAAAAATTGATTGCTTTTTAATTTCATTTATTCATTCAAATAAAAGCAAAAAATAAAATTTTAGAAAGAAATTATTAATTTTTAATTTTATTTATTCAAGCAAATACACACTAAAAAATTAAAATCACTCTCCAAATTTGAATTAGTAGAAATATTTACTAATTTGAATCAGTGACTCACATTTTTCTTTGGAATTAGTAAATTTTACAAATAAATGGTAATTTCTACTAATTTGTTAGTAAAATTTACTAATTTAAAAGCAAACCGTCAGTCACTAATTCAAATTAGTAAATATTTTTACTAATTCAAATTTAGAGATTTAGCTAATTATTATTAAATGAATTAAGTCAAGTTAAAAATAAAAGAATTAAATAAGAATAAAAAAATTATTATTAGTTAATTTCATTGTTAGATTATGTTAAGATAACTAATATTTTTTGCAACTAATTCAATTAGTCAAATTTAACTACATATTTTCCCAGCTATTTATCTACTAATAATTAGAAATTTTCAATACTAATAATTAGTTAGTTTTTATTAATTACAGAAGCAAAAAAGATTTTGCTAACAATAAGTTGATTTTAACTAATTCAGATTTAATATATTTAATTGTATCTTTTTTAATAGTTACAATTTTTTTAAATAAAGTTTAAGTAAAAAGTGACCAGAAATTAGTAAAAGAATTTAAATTAGTAAAAATTCTTTCTATTGTAAATTAGGCTCAATTTTCACTGATTTAAATTTAGAGAGTTTGTAGTTTTAGAAAAAAAATTGTAATAGTTAAAATATTTTTTTTTTTTTTTTGAAGGGGGTGAAAGGTTTTTCTTAAGAAATTCTTTTTACTATATTGTAGAAATCTAAAATAAAATTACTAATTTTGACTAAAAAAAATAACTTTTCACCATAATTTCCAATTTTGTAAAATTTAGAGAAAATATTTAGGGACCAAAAGACCAAAACTGTCAAGATTGAAAGTTATGTAAAAAAAGAAAGAAACAAAGGAAGATTTTCGAGAAAAAAAAGAGATTCTTTCACAATACAAAGATCTCACCTGTCGTCAATGACGTAAACTGGACCGCCTTCGCAACCTGGTACCGAATTAGCGTCAGACAATGCAACACAATTTTGATAGCCAACAATATTACTAATAACGCCACGTGCAATCGAATCGATAAAAACCGGATTACCAAATGGCGTTGACTCAATTTCTGCAATCGATCCTCTCACTGGATAAGCGAGATCCTGTTGTACAAAACGATTTAGAGCCTCTCTTGCCAATATTATTGAACAATCGTGGTAAAATTCACTCCCAAGATTTATCATCAAAAACACTGGCATCAATAATAATCCATCACGTCTATCCATTAGTTTATTAAATTTCCAAGAGGCAAAGAGACTGTCAAATGTTTCCTTCAAGAGTGGACATTTCCAAACAATCATTACACTACCTTTATTTTCCTCCATTTCTACTTCATCATTATCATTTTTTGATGTTTCCCATAAAATTCGAAATTTCATTTCTTTCTGTAATTTGTCAGGGATTTTAAAAAATTCCCCCGGTTTTAAATTTGTCAGTAAATTTTCAATTTCTGTATTCTTTTTCATTAGTGGATTAATTAATGATCCATGGGTAATTACCCAGTGTTTTGAGATCATTATACCAGAATATCCAAAAATTTCTTTTTTTTTCTCGTCATCAAAAGAGGAAACGTATGAGATTAAAACGTTCTTTGGTTGCTTCATTTTGTTTACCTAAAATTAAAAAATTAATTTTGTAATAAAATACAGGGCTTGTCTCTCTTTTTTTGTAAATAAAAATTAATATAAAGTAATTTTTACTATACTGTTATAGTAAAATTTAAACTGTTTATAAACTTGATATAATTTCTGTGGAAACTTTAAATATTGCCCCACGTGCAGAAACTAAATTTTACTTTCGAGAATAATAAAAATTTACCATTTCCAAGTGTAAATTTTTTCTTAGGTTAAAAGTAAATTCTACAATTTTTTTTTCCTCAAGACTAGTAAAATTTACTCTGCACTGAAAAAAAAGTTCTGGTTAGGGTATATTTAACACGATATTCTAGTTAAAACAACCAGAATTCTGGTTAACTTAACCATAGAAAAAATCTAGTTAGGGCATATTTAACACGAAATTCTAGTTAAAAACAGGTTTTCTGGTAATTCCAACCAGAACTTTTTTTTCAGTGTAGAAATAGTAAAAGTTACTAGAAAGCATAAATTCCAGTTTTGTTTTTAATATCTTAATATAGTAAAAATTACTTTACTTTACTTTAAATATTTACAGTGTAAATTTTCCCCCACGTGCAGAAACTAAATTTCACTAAATTTTACTTTCGAGAATAATAAAGTAAATTCTACAATTTTTAATAAAATTTACTCTAGAAATAGTAAAAGATACTAGAAAGCAGAAATTCTAGTTTTGTTTTTATTATCTTAATAGTAAAAATTACTTTACTCGTTTTATTCGTAAATTTTATTAAATTTCACTTTTGAGAATAATAAAATTTACTATTTCCAATGTCAATTTAATTTTCTAACACAGAAAAAAATCTATTTTATAGGGGAATGTAGTCAAGGTTGGCCTACTGTCTAGGTAGGCCACTCGCGTTTTTTTGTCAAGTTCACTAGCGCCACCTACGCGCATTTTTGTCGAAGCTTGTCTTAGTGAAACCTAACTTTTTGTTCAATTACATTTTCGGAAAATCGAAAATTGTGTTTTCTGTGACGTCGGTACAAAAAAAGCTCAAAAAAAGTTTTGTGCATAATGTGAAAAACCATTAATAAAAGATAAAAAACAAATTGAATCGTGAAAGCAAGTATGCAGAAAATTTGTGGGACTCATGGTTGAAAGGAAAACAAAGTAAAAAATCGAATCCCGAAACGTATTTCTTTATGGTTACAACAATTCGGTAATGCTACTTACTGTCAAGGTCGGCCACTATGTGTTTAAAATGCGCAAAGTTGAGGACGAGCTACTTCATTTGCAAAAACTGCAATTCTGTATAACTCATAATATAATTGATCATCTTATTAATATTTTTATTTAATTTTATTAATATTTTAGTGCAAAACTTTTTTTTATTTATATTTATTTTTTTATATTGTTTATTGTTATTATTTTGTTATTTCATTAAGTTACAAACTGTAAACAATAAAGAATCAATTTTCCGTAACTCCAAACATGTTATTTTATTTTTTAAAGATTAATGCCCTTTGAATTTTAAACATGGCCGACCTTGACTGTAATGGCCAACCTGGACTACAAAATTTTTTTTTTTTAAATCTTTATAACTTTTTCATTTTTAAACCTGTCAATTTACTTTGTACAGAAAAAATGTTCCTATTAAACAGGACTTTCCAACCATATACTTCAATTGTCCAAATTCATTTTTAAAAAAAAGTTATAAACAAAAGTCAAAAAGGTGGCCGACCTAGACTATGTTCCCCTACTTTAGTCGCATATTTTGTTTTTTTTAAATTAAAAATAAGAAAAAAGAAGCGGAAAAATTTTTTCACACCTGATTCTTTTTACGAATTTTCTACTGCTAAAATACAAAAATTTACTATACAAAAAGTAAAACTTCAGCTAAAAAACAGAAATTCTGAATTTTATTTTATTTTTTTAAATAATAACACTTATTTCATTTTCCATTATTACTTTATTTTCTGAATCACAAAAGAAGCAAATTTCTTATATTTTCTTTCTTTAAAATAAAAATAAATTAAACACTGGAAAAAAATTAGTAATTTTTAATTTACTTTCGTAGTAAAATTTAAAACTATTTAAAATTTCTATTTGGCGATTTTTACTATTTCCGGTGTAAATTTTCCAGCAGGTAAAAAGTAAATTTGACTAATTTTTTACTTCGGAAAATAGTAAAAGTCGCTAAAAAAGAAATTCCATTTTTGATTTTATTTTGTAAAATAATGAAGTTTAATTTATTTTTTTTCATAAATATTTCATTGTCTGAACCAAAAAATCTCATTTTCCATACTTTTTTAACTTTATTTTCTTTTTCCAAAATTAAAGACACACAACACGAAAAAAAATATGCATCAATTTTTATTTTACGTACTAAAATTTAAAATGTCTGAAAATTCCATTTGGCAATTTTTACTATTTCCTGTGTAAATTTTCCCACACTTGGAAATTCAAATTTTACCAATTTTTTTACTGCAGGAATAGTCAAATTTACTCCAAAAATAGTCAAAATTGCTAGAAACAAAAATTATTTCAGTTTTTATTGTATTTTATAAATTTAGTAAAAGTTACTTTTTCAGTTTTACTGTAAATATTTGAATTTTCCAAAACAAAGAAAGAAGAAAATTTTTTGCGCCTTAATTTCATTTTATTCGCTTAAAATTAAAAATTTACTTTATAATCACAGAAAAAAAATTAAATTACCTACTTGATTTTCTTAGTAAAATTAAATTTTTTTTGAATTTTTGCTTCACTGATAAAAAACTGATTAAATAAAATAATTAAAAAATTAATTAAAACTTTAATTAATTAATTAACTAATTCAAAAACAACTGATTCTCAGCCACAGTTTTTCTAAGGATATCAAATTGAAACAAAAAACGTGTCAAAATAGTTGCGAAGCAACGTTTTGATACGTTTCTTGTCTCAATTTGATATCCTTAGAAAAACTGTAATGATTCAAAGTGTAAATTATAATATTTTTTTTTCCACGAATATTTAATTCACCGAAACAAAAAAGAAGTTTTTTCCACCCCGTGATAAATTTATTAATTCTCTACCTAAAAATTAAATCCTAAAAATAAAATTAAAATTTCATTCTCTGAATAATTTTTTGCAAAAAATAAAGTAGTAAAGAATTTTTTTTTCTCTCTCATTTTTTTCTTTTACTAAAAAGCGTGAGTAGTTTATATAGATTGATCGAGAATGTTTAGTTCTCTGGAAAAGGTCGATTCGATCGTCAATAATACAACTTGTGGTACACGAGAAAATCATACTCGATGAGAGATGAAGGGGGACGGGTACCGAGGCGTGTCTGCTGTTGGACTAGTTTTTGCTCAATGCACCGGTAGACCGCTTGGCACCTCAACTATATTCCTTATATATTTACACAACATTCAAGACTTGGGTTGGGGTTTTTTTTATGTCGATGTGAATAATAATAATAGGTTCAAATACTCTTATACACGTAACCATAACACGTAATCTATAATTTTACACTTTGCGTATAATGAATCGTTCTCATTTTTTTCTCGGAATTTTGCTCGAAACAAAAAAAAATTATTTTCCCGTTTATTATATTTTGTACCCTTTTTATTTACTAATAGTTTTTAATCCTATTACCAGTTTTTTTTTCTAATTTATTAAACAAATTTTTCCTAATTTTTCAATTTTTCGTCAAAATATTTCGAACAGTTAGATTGAAATAATCTACTTTTAATTTTTTACTTACTTATTTAGTTAATTATTAATTTTTACATTTTACTATATAAAAATCAATAAGTTTTAAATAAAAATTATTTTCAAATAATTACCCAAAAAAAAGGACAGAGAAGATTTTACTAACAGTTAATTTAGACTAATTTTGCTTTCAATTTTTCTACTGGTAAACTTTTGGAAACATTTTTTATTTCTTGGAGAAAAATAACATTATAGTCAATTAGAGGAAAAGAAAATTAAAAGAGGGATTAAAAAAGAGTTTTCGTTATTTACAGAGAATCTCTAAATCGTACGATGCAGAACCTTGGAGGAACAAGTGATACAACTGAGGAACAAGTAGTAAACTACTGTTTTGGTCAGCCACACAATATTTCTCCATTTTTCGCGATAATAGTACAATTTCGGTTATTATTTACACATTTATTCGTTAAGTTTTCAAAAAATTTATTGAAAATATATTAACACTAGTAAAAATTGTATACACAAATTATATATACATAACAAAATTTTAATTAAATTTTATTTAATTAACTTTTTTTATTTAATTAATTTAATTTTTTAATTTTATTTAATTTTAAACTTAATTTTTAACTTTTGAGACAAATACTAATCGACAACAAAAGCAATGTATATTTATTTATTTATTTGCAATCCTAAAAAAACAAATAACTAAATATAACATTTTTAACTTCACCAAGAATTATTAAAAAATAAGTAATTATCAATTTATCAAATTTTAATTCCTGAAATAATAAAAATTTAAAAAAAATGAGATTTTCCTCAATACTCTTTCATAAAAATAAAAGAAAGTAGAAGAATAAATACAAAAGTTTAAATTTCACCAACAATTAGTAAAAAAAATAATTATTAATTTAGGAAAATTTACATATTCGCAAAAAAGTAAAATTTAATTCCAGAAATGGTAAAAGTTGCAAAAAACAATTATCAGAAATTGCAGAAAATCAACATTTTAGCAAATAATAATTTTTGCAAGAAATTTACAAAATACGTTTTAATAAAAAAAAGACGAAAAAATAAAAGTTTAAATTTCACCAACAATTATAGTAAAAGAAATAAATAATTATCAAGTTTACAAAATTTACAAATTCCCTAAAGGTAAAATTTACATTCCGGAGATAGTAAAAATTGCAAGAAAAAATTATCACAAATTGCAGAGAGTTTAGATTTTACTAAAGACTTTTCACTAAAGTTTCTACTGAATCTTTTACTAAATTTTTTACTGATTTTTTTACTAAATATTTTGTACTCAATTAATTAATTAATTAATTACTTTACAAAAAAGTAAAAA